AGACTACCATATATCTAGTAATCTCCCGAGAAAAAAAAACTATCATAAACAAAATGTGCCAGTTAAAAAAAAGTAATCTCACACACACTATAATAAGACCAAAGTTCAACATATATTCTTCAGTTATCAGTCCCCTTTTAATTATTAAGTCATCTTACTATAATGGACGTAGCATGTGTGTATGTATGTATATATATATATATATATATATATATATGTATATATCTACCTATGTATTTGCCCGAATTTTTTTTTTTCAATGAGGTACGAATACTAGTTATTACTAGCACAAACGTTTCTGCTAGTAATTAATAATGTATGTGGCCATTGCATCTAAACGCGTTGGGGATATTTCATCTTTCAGACAAAATTCCGACGCCGATGTAAAACTCGCTTGTAACAAAGAGAAATCAGTTATGGGCTGGGAGTTTAGTACTTAAACCCACAACGTTTCAATTCCTACTGCCTTTCGCTGTCTGCAGCTAGTTGTGGGAATGTAGTTACCCTTAATATTTAGATATAACCTTGAAGTAGAATTAAACTGCCCCAAATTCTGCAATATAAAACTCCCAACCCCCACCCTTTTATTTAATAACACAGACCTGCGATGGTTTAATTGTCTTGAAGTTTTTAAATGTTGTACAGTAATTCCTGTAATGCTAAATCCGGAAATGATATCCATTTTTGTCCATCAGGTACAGAATTTTCATAAAACGTCATATGTACTTTTACATAAGTGAATCATTTTCATTGAAGTCGGGTCATATTTTGTTATGCTTAAAATGTTGACAACCACTGGCTATAGATTTTTTTTAGACAATCGCGACGTGAGTCTTATTGATCGTTCTGGAACCCACGAGAAAAATACATAATAATAATATTAAAATGTTCATTGAGGTAAACGAAATAGTAATTTTATCTAAGGAAGATTTTTTTTAATCCCGATTTGTAAAAAATCCTTATGTGATAGGAAAAAATGAATATTATTTTCGAAATCTGCGTAGTTAAATTATGGAA